TGCAATAGTAAAAGAGATATATAGTATTATGTATTATAAATACATTAAAATATAAATATTTTAAATGGACGTTTATATATAATGATAGATTTATTTGTCAATTTTTAAATACTTTTTCTCATTAATTACTTACTTTCAATATTCAAAATAATGCTGTTAGCAGATATATAACAAATGCAAAAGAAAAATAAAGACGAGATTGTGATGTCTACGACAAACATGTTTAAAGTGTCAGTTTGTTTCTTACAAATGATTGTTGCAAATTCAAAATATCGACACAAATCTCAAGAGAGAAAAGCACGAGTACGATATCAAAGGCCGTAGAGCTTATTCAAGCTTTTCATATATATTACTCTGATGCATATATGAATTGTATGCATATAGCAATTTTAATAAAAATATATTTACGAGAGTGTGACTCCAATATATATGATCTTATTTAGATTAGATCGCGATAAGAAAAATATTACAAGTTTATATTTACGAATAGTCCGATTTTTAATCAACCTGCTTTTACTATTTTTTAAGCATTATAAGAGTAGTGAGTTGAGTGCAACGACTTTAACGTTTGCACTTTCTTGCAATAATATATGTTCTATCTTTTTATTCTTTATTTAATTTATGTGATATCATTGATCGCGATCCGCTTCAGTAGCTACGTTACATTATTGTAAAATTTCTGTCTTCTACCAAAAGAAAAGAGAATTGTCGCGCAATTTTATCTGGAGAACACGTTTACAAACCCTTAGAAGGGACAATACACACCCTCGTCTAAAATGAGCAAGTATAAACAGGCAATTACGTTCGATCCTAAATTCAAAGTAGCAAGATAAATAAGTTAATAGGATGATACTAATTGCAATACTGAGAGCATCTATTGTGTTAAAGGGATAACAAGGAGCCCATTAGCGTAACGAAGCCGAGTAACCAAATGCATTTTTGTACAAAGTTCTGTCGCGCACAATAATGAATGCTAATACAGTTACGCAACGCACATGTTCCTGTCAATTATGGAACTTTAAATTGTTTCGAAGCATGTTAAGAACTTAAGCTATATACTCGTATCTGCTGTACTCGTGCTGATATAACAAGATCGGCACGCTTAGTATCTCGCAAAACTTGCAGAAGATCGCTGAATAATTACGAGATTGAAATATCAACTGAGGAGTTAGTATTAAGCCAATATTATACCTTTTAACACGTAAAACACGATTATAGCACACAATTTTTAAACTTTGAGATAGTAGATATAATTTCAAGATATTAACAAAAAGTTTTTCATACTCATATTCAAAGATATACAATACATGTAATTTCAAATTCTCGCGTAAATAATATAAAAATAATTGAGATATTTATATAAAAATAAAATTTTTTATTTAAAAATCTTATATATATCTGCCACATAAATTGTGAAAAACGTGATAACGACGCGAAAAAATTCTGATCAAAATAGGTAAATATTACTGCAACATGAATCTACATTGATTGAACACGTACCATGTTCATTTAATTACAGTAACTCATATTGCATTGATATTTTGAATCACGTAAATTAAAATCATCAAATCGTTTTTTTGTAAATAAAGTGCAATTTCAAGATCTTTAATTTCAAGATCTCTAATATTAGTGCTATAATGCTATTATATATTTTTTTGCGCGTTGTATATATATATATATATATATATATATATATATATATGTGTAAATTAGCTTGAGAATTTGTAAGAATAGAGATTCTCTCTTAGTAATAAATATATAAAGATTAAAGAATTGTAGTCAATTCTCAGACGTGCAATCATTAATCTCAAATTAATCTAGTATTAATAAAGAAAAAAATTGAAAGTGGTTCTGTAGAATTAAAGGTTGAAATATATATATAATTGGATACAAGAGAGATATAAGGCAAAATTCTAAATTTGTAAAATTTTTCAACCGATTAAACTGTAAATCTCTTAATATATCAGAGAAAATTATATAATTTCTAGTAATTAGCTAACCAATAAAATAGTGACGTAACTTTCTGATGTGCATTGCATACGCACACATACGCGTGAATTTCTGAGTAGTATACTGTATAAACTGATGAAACCTGTTAATACAAACGTGTAACTCGGCTTGCCGCCAGTTAGGAGATCAACATTTGCTAGTGTCAGCTATCGTCGTCAGCTCGTTACGTCAAATTGTGTTTTCGGTATTTGGAAACATTGCTTTCGTATTTTTCTAACAAGAAAACGGCTATAATTCTTAACGACGATTTTAATTATACAAAGGAAACAAAGCTCATGGACGTAAAAATTGAAAACTAAGCTATTAATTTTTTAGATAAAAATATATTCTAATATTGTCTAAAATAAAAAAATCTTTTATATATAAAAAATCGCTTATATTTCGAATAAAATTACGTAAAAAATAATTAATAAAACATCCTTAATTTTTATATCAATGCACATTTGTTTGTACTTACCTACGTTGTTATATAAACTATTTTGAATATGTATAATATATCAGATATAATTATTTTTATAAAGACGCAAAATGTCATTGTAATAATGAACAAACAGAAGCTGAGCAATAATGGAATTTTCTGATATGCTAACATTAACGGATGTTACGGTACTGTTTTAGGTACAGAGCAAATTCATACAAGCGTGTATAATTCGAGTCGCCGCTAGTTAAGGGATCATTATTCACTAACGTCAGCTGAAACTTGTTACCATATCTATAATACGATATGATATTGCTCCTGTACTGCCGAGGAAAAGTTTTGTCTCAAACGATAATAGTTTACTGTAGAAAATGCAAAATGCAAAGCACAAAAGAGTTTCAATATTTCCCAAAAAGTTATGTTTAGGAGAACAAGTTACAAGTGATAACATTCCCTTTGAATCTGCTTAATTATATTATGAATCAAAATATGCTGCCGCATTGTGGAGTAAATTGTAGTAGATATAATGTAACAAGAGTGCGCGCAAACGTATTGTTGCAGCGTCAGATATAGTCAGATACAGTCTATTAAAATATAAAAAAGTTATCACGTTCTCGTGTGCTCCAGTTTGAAATTATATCTTTCTGTGTGCGACTAAGAGAATAATAGAATAAGCATCATATAAATCATTAATAATTTATAAGAAAAATGAAAAGCATGTATATTAGCAAATCTATTTGATTCACAATTTCTTTATTATATATTTATTTTATTATATATTTAATTTTTATATGCTCATAATAACAGAGTAAAAATATAAAAATCGTAAAAATTAAAAAAATATAAAAAATCTACAAAGAATATTTCAGAAAAAGAATATGTTATTGAAACTTAGAATATTACCCTCGTTTAAATATCACATGTCATTTCGTGCGGATTAAATAGGTTCATTTTACAGATATTTCGTATATATTGCATGATATATACGGATATAAATGGTTGAAATAGATGGCTCAGAGGAATGATCGTAACTTAGCGGACTTACGAAGTCAGTGACCACCACCGGCTACAAATTCGGCTGTCTGCTACCGCTAACACGATTATATATACGCGTGTGCATTTACAACTACAGTCAACTCGATTAGTCGATTTCAAAAGCAGCGTATAGAGAAACGGCAGATTACTACCAGGACCATTTGATCATGTACCAAAACTTTATCTCTAAAAGATCTCGAAACGCGCGCGCGAATAATTGCTTTAATAATGATGATTCTATGCCACTATGCAAACGACAAAAGTAAGTGTATGTATAGTAAAAGTCATGGCCACACGCAAAGATTTATTGTAATAATAAGTGACTAGATTTTTATTTTTAAACGCACGTTTTTCTTTTCATTAGAATAAAGCAAGCAATGTAAATAGCTTTTCAGAAAAATGGTTGTTATATAAAAATTAAAAAAACTTTGAAATAATAAAAATTATAAATTTCTCTAGCAAAAATTAATAAGATAGATTCTCGTTAATTGAAATATATTTGATAATAAAAAAAATAATGTTTAATATAAATAATAATTTTTAAAATATTCTTAAATTTTATCTTGACTTATCTTTTGATCTTTTTTAAATTTTCTTCTAATTGCATTCTTATTTATTAATTCATCAAGCAAAAATTTAGTTATAACTTATTTCATCTACAATTTACTTTATTAAAATCTCTATTTCCGTGTTAAATATCATTATTACACATCGGCGTATTCAATTTCATTGTAATCTATTTTATATAGAAAAATATTTTGTTTCGGAATATTTATTTTATTTTTTGTTATTGTTTGTTATATTTATATAATTTGATATGTATGATAAAAAAACAGAAGATCGTGCACAATTCTAGTTTTTTCTACTGTTTTCCTAGTCGCACACAAAAAAATATGATCGTCGCGATGCGCTCCAGGGGGGAATATCAATTTCGTGATATCGTTTTTGTCGTTCATTAAAACATTCTCAAAGTGTCCAATGATATCAACGTTAAACCGCAAAAAGAGAAATTACGAAATCACATAATTTTGTTTTACATTTTATTTTATTTCGTTGCATTTAAAATATTCTTACGTCTCTGTTTCCCACAATGTGTTTTAATGAAATTATCCTAATGCTCAAAGAATATTCATAAACACTCAAATACTGCATTTATCTTTTTTTTGTTACAATTTTATCATGAATATTTATCAAGATAATTATGATATATTTGGTGACTTGTATATATATAGTGTTGCTTCTTATATTTATTATTACACTGGAGCAACACAAGCGCGCGCTATACGCGCTATTCTTCGATTTTAGGATATATATTTTAAAAATTATATAAAGTTTGTTTCACACACAATTCAATTAATATTTTTCACAGAAATCAGCTGATAAAAGCATTAATATGATAATTAAATTTTAAAATAAAAATATGTTATAAAGAATTAAAATAATAATGTGATAATATGTTATAATATTTCAAACTCGAATATTTTTTTACAGAAATCAGCTGATAACTGAAAAATAAAAAATATAAATTAAGACTCACCGGTACGACGCATCATAACAGAGTTGTAGTGCATATGGATATGATGATCTGTAAAATTAAATATTAACAAGTTATAAATAAATGTCTAAAATAATTAAATTTTAAATAATAATAATTATAAACACAAAATTAATAATATTCTTATTATTGTTAATAATAATTATGTTAAATAATAATTGAACTTTTTATTGAATTTTTTTATTATTTTTAATATTGAATCTTTATTTACTAAAATAAAGAAATACTACAAAAAAAATGTTCCACAAAAAATGTTTTTACGAAAAGAATTTTTCTTACAGATTAAACTATTATAATCTAAATAAAAATCAAAATTTGTATATAAATAATAAAATAATTTAAAAATTTTGAATACAGCAATTCCAAAAATATATACATATATCTATTTGTATAAAAATATTAATTATTGTAAATAATTAATTTATTTTACTTAATATTTTAAAGTAAAATATAAAATACTAAATTATATTACACAATAACAAAAAGCGGATCATTAAAATAAATACACAATTAATTTCATAAAATCGTCAAGTATTAAATAATTAAAATGTACTCGCACCTTACGATTGTTCCGTTCTTGCCCGATGCCTCCCCGGGCCTCTTCCTCCTCTCTTGTTGTTGGTCGTTTTTTCTTTGCTACTGGTGTTTGCAAATCTGCAACGATATTGCAAACTTAATATAAATATCGATATCTGATCATTATTGTATCGTATAATACGCGTGCCTGCCAGAGCGAGCGCATCTCGTTCTCATTCACCTGCATTTTGTATCTTGACGTATCTTTGACCTCTTTTTCCGCTTTATGCGATATGTGCGATAACAGTTGCGAGTTCACTGATGGCTAACTCTCGAGTTTGCTCGCGTTCACGTAATTTACGTATATATGCATATCGGTCCGCGATCACGATCGGCTTCTATCTTATTCTGATTATTCTTATCGCATACTACGAATTCTGCGGATCTCTTTCGAATTTGTCAGAGAATAAAGATAGTTGCACACTTCTCTTTATGTGTATTCCTTAGAACGGCACGGTCGTTTACATATAATATTAGTTTACTTATATAGATTGCTTACATTATGGTTCAACTTTGTAAGAGGTACTTTAAAGTATAACGCGACTACTTTGCCATCTTTCGCTGCTTTTACAGTTTTACGAAATTTTAAAAAGTTAAAGATAAATTTATAGTAGTTAAGATCTCGTGCGTGAACGAAGCATTTTCATTTTTATTAAATATTTATTCCAGCAACATACATGCATACATATATATGTATATATGAAATTAATAAATTAGAAAATTAATAAAAATCAAAATTAATTTTTAATTGATTCATTTCATTGAACTTTAACCTAGTAAGTTATACTACTGTGAGAAATATACTACTGTGCACAGAGAGAATTTTCTCTTAGAATTTATTCTGAAAATTATATGGTAATCGTGGAACAATATTACGGTATTGGAAGAATTTTATAAGAGTTTCTCTGATTAATATTTACCACAATAAAAATATTAATATCAATAAGATATAAAATATGTTCGATTAATAAGATATAAAATATGTTCGATTTTATTATGTACGTATTAATATTTTTTATTGTGGTAAATATTAAGCAGAGAAACTCTCATATAATTCTTATAAAATTTTTCCATATTGTCCTATACGATTACGTGTACTATGATTTTCAGGGTAACTTCTAAGAGAAAATTCTCTCCGTGTGAGCTCTCTCGAATTTAATATTTTATTTATATAAAATAAAATAAATCATATATAAAATAAAATAATTTATCTAAATGTTCGTAAATTTTATATCAATTTAATAATATTAATTACTAGTTTGGTCAATTTAATATCGCGTTGTTTTACTTAACGATAGTACTTCTAGAATGTAATAATTGTGTCAGACTATTTCATATATATTATCACGATTATCTTTAAGCCTTATGATACGACATCAACTGAGCGATATACATCGTATGTCATACTCAGACACGGAAAGATACATAACCCACTAGATTCTCCGGAGTCCAAGAGACTGTAGATAAGCGCACAGATAATGTCGTGAGTCCGCTTACCTTCGCTAAAGATTAAATCGGCACCTAAAGTAAGTGCGCTTAACGGATTGCCCGAACGAGCTTGTCATCCGAGCGGTTGCGAATCTAAATCTTAAGCTTCAGCACTACATTATGCACCCGACCGAATGATAGATCAGCTTTAATTTGCGCGAGACATCGCTATAATAGTATTTTCAAAATAAATATTCAAACAATTTTATATCTTTAAAAATACAGTTAAGAATTTCGTTTGTTAATTATATTTTCTTCAAACAAATGGAAAAAAATATTATTTAAAAAATTTTCTTTAAGATTTCAATCTTTTATAATTTCTTAATAATGGAATTATCAACGCGAATATAAATTTCCGTATAATACGTTTGATTTTTTATGAATTCTCGTTATTAATTTATTTTCATAAGCTTTCTAATAATATTTTTATAATATTTCTTCTACTGTAATTTAATTTCTCCATTTATTAATATACTTACGTTAATAATATTTGAAGCAGGACTTGTGCAGAGTTAGCTTGATGGAATTGTCTCATATTCTGTTCACTACCGACCCGATATATACTATATACATAATTATCGCTCGATATTTTTTTCAGCACTCCCGATACTTTTTTTCGACACTCCCGGTACTTTTTTCGACACTCCCGATATACTTTTTTCGACACTCCCGATACTTTTCTCGGCACTCCCGATACTAAATATTTATACTCGAAAATTATATTTCTTGGAAATTTTATGAATACATTTAATACTTATATAATTGGAACTGTAATCGTTCCATAATTATCGCATATTCGCACGACCGATACATATATATACTGTATCAACGAACGAATATAATATAACGACGAATATTCTTTTCGGCACTTCCGATGTTACAAGGTTATCTGCAAACAAAATATTTATTTTCAATAAGACAAAGAGAGTCGTGATAAATACGATAAATATGATATGTAAATCAAATTATTTAAAGGCAGATTATATGTGGCGAGTGCATTTTATGGTTGGATATTATGATTGCAATACCGTACCGTAATATAGACTGATTCCGTTTCTTCGATATTCACGAGATCGCGACTAGATCTGTATTTTAAAGCGTATCAATACCACAAATGATAATGCGCGAAGACAATTACATTTTTCACTTTTCACTCTAGATACCGCGGTTTAATTCCGAGCACTTTGCGCGAATTAAATATGGCTGTCACTACGTATGTCAATAAGTTGGTTGCTATGGCTACGACGTGAATTTGGCGCCGTTTTTTATTAGATGATATGATGTGTTCGTATACGCGACACGAGTAAGAATCATGATAAGTTAAGATGAGTTTCCAGACAGCACCAAATCCAAAATCGGTAAGATATATTTAAAATATGTTTAAGATGTCTTTCGGATATCATATCATAAGATTTCTTAAAGCTATCTTAAAGATTTCTTATTAATGATATCTTATGCGCCAATTTTGGGCTTGGTGCTGTCTGGGTTATTTTTCATTACGATCGAGATTGTATTGAGCGAGAAATTATATAGAAAAAACATAGGAGAAGTTCGTGCTCGAGACGGGCGAAGATTCTCAAAAGCGAATTTAGCCTCTTTGTTTACATACGCGATAGCACGATTACCTCGCTTCGTTCACCCGCACTTCTCTCTCTCTCTCTCTCTTCTTTCTCCTACACTCCTTCTACGTTTCCCCTATACTTCTACACTCTCTCATACATTTCTATCCCTTTTTAGGATCGCACGCTTATCTCGGTTCAATTTCTACCGTGCGCAATGTAATATAATACGGATCGACACACATACACACACATACCATTTTATTCGTGCAAATCTTTCTTCCGAGATCTCCCTCTTCTTGTCCTTCTCTTGGCTTCCACGCACATTTTTCGAGATAGTTTCTTCAGTTTAGTACTATCCCGGCTATCACGCAAGTCAGTCCGAAAATTTTTCTGATATCTTACTTCTGCTTTAATATTACGCATTTATATTTAATATATATCATATACGTGTTAATATATTATGTTTGTTAAAATATTACTGCTCGAATATATTATCGTTTTCATGTCGCGGCAGCTACATCCGACTTACGTACACACGTGTGTACTCGGAAGGTCGAAATCGGATCACACTGTGTTTTACCGGAAACAGAAATTGAGATATTTATTTGGCGGTAGCGTCCATTTGCAGCGTTTTGTGGTGGCGTCGAGACGTCCGTGTGCTTGTCCTGTACATTTAATCCGTTAAATAATCTGTCGTCGGTGTAAATAAAGTGCACGTGTCGGGAGTGTCGAGAAAACAATCGGGCGATTATCGTGTTATGCGTAAATGTGTCGTAGCTTTAATATTTGTTGCTTTAATATTCGCGATCGCTCCGTATTTTCTTCTATGTCTCGCCGTCAAGGGCGTCAAGGACAAATTCGCCTAGAGTCGATTGAACGCCGAAAAGTGACAGTTAAGTACCGATAAACACACACGATCGAGATTAATTTCGTCTTTTCGTCAATGAAAATATATTCAGTTCTTTAAAGTACATCGCGATACGCGACTTTAACTCGAGTCGAGTCGAAAATTATTTCGGTGTATCGGAAATATTCATTAAATTTCTATAGACGATCGAATATCGCATTCGCGCGACAACAATTCATTCATTTGTGTCTCTCAAATTTCCGGAGCACGTCCGCATTTTTCGTGCCATCTTTACGCGGCAATTTTCATTCACGTGAAATTGCTACGTCTTGAAGTACACGTCGCGTCATACCTATGTATACATCGAATGATTAGAGAAGCGTCAACAGTGAACGAATCGGCCGACTAGAGAGTAACACGTTTGCGGAGGAGATACGAAATACAAATTCGTCGATTCAAGGATAATATTCGATCTCACGCGTACGACACGGTGTGGACGACGCGACGTGCGTGGGATAGAGGAAGGTTATGGAACGAGAAAGTAGGTACGCACAGTGTATAAGGTGTTCGGCTCGAAGGTGAGGGAAAAGGAGGGGGGAGGAATCGCGGCGCGTTCGGTGTTCGGGCGCTCTCGGCTGTCCGCCGAAGTGTCACGAAGCGCTCTGAAAGTAAGTGCGCGGCAGACGGTCTTCGCGCGTCGAGCTCTCCGGTTGTGCACGTACGCACCTCTCAGTCTCGGTTGTTGCGAGTCGACGATTTACGAATTCGGATTAACGGATTAACGGATTCGATCGCCGAAATATACCCTCCGCGCGTTTTCGCGGCATCTGTTTGCCCGCGTCGATAAATCACGCGCGCTACTGCGTTCCGAGTTTTTGTGTTTATTCGCGGTTGTTCGCGGAGTTGACGCCTGAAGTTCGCGACTGAAAAAAGATCAGTTTCCGAGTGTTCCTCTTTTTTGTGATGTGCGTGAAGCCAGCTACCAGCCGCTACAAGATGACCACCGTCTGGGCCTGTGTCTTCATCGTGCTGTGTTCGACGTTTGTTAAAGGTGCGCGAAAGTTATCTAAGTTACACACAGTGAAATCTCGTTATGACGAATATCGTAATTTGAATGCACGTCGACCGACGACGATGACATTCTATCGGTGTGTATAACCTTGACGAAATCGTAATATTATGTTAACTTTATTCGATTTAGAATTCGTTATAATGAGATTTTATTGTGATTTTATATATTATATTCATCGTATATGTGCTTTTTGATGCATTTCGATTTTTGAGCATCAGTAATAAATAAATACTCGATGATGTACGAAATATAAACGCTGGCGGGAAAATACGAATGCTTTCGGCGCGCTTTTCTTGTGAATATCGTCATCGACGAGATTATCCAACTCGTGCGTGTTGCGGAAGCCGGAATGAGATTTTATGGTTTCCTGAATGCGGTCCGTTTCTCGAGCGAAACGAATTCGGAGTAATGGAGCGTTGTAAATGTAACGTCAACAATTATTAAAATATTCTTACATACGTATAGATTGTTAAAATATTTATCACAACAAAATAAAAATTTTTCACGTCTATTCCATTCAATATAGCCGTGCAACTTTAATATCACTGATAATATTGTTCAAGTAATTTGATTTAAAAATTCAATTATATGAAAAACGAAAGACACAAGTTATTTTACTTATAAAAATAATTTTCCATAGTTGCCTGCTTTTTATATAAACACGATATTTCTCGTTAGAAACTTTTTACATATAGCTTACTATGAAAAAAAATCGAGTTTTTTTATCGCATTCTAAGTGACTAATCGATTTAATAATTGATAAGTTATCGTAAAATTATATTTTAGAACATATTATCATTTAAACAAAATATACGAATATATAGATTATCAAATTTCTCAAATATGATTAAAAGGCACGAAGATTAAAGGCACATCGCAATAACCATTTCGTCTTCAAGAAGTTCGAAATATATTAATTGTTTTTAATATATAATATAATTGTGTAATAACATATAAATATACGGTATGTAACGTACATTTTATATATAGTTAAATGTTAATTATTATGTGAGACTAGGAACAAACAGTATATATATTATTTTGAACTTCCTATCATCTATAATCTTATCACTGTTAATATCTCTATTGAAATCTTTAATATTGAAAGAAGAAAGAAAGAAATTTACTCACGAATAAGGTAGGTCTCGATTTTTTTTAAAAGTAGGATTGATTGTTATTAATTTATATTAATTTGCAAGCGTGACATTTCATAATGGCTAATAAATTCGCGATACGGAAGTGTTTCTGATTTAGTGAAAACGGATATATAACCTATATATATATATATGGTAAACTATATTATCATTACCTCCAATTTGTCTCAATATTTACATGAAGCTTGCATTTAGTGTTGAATAAAGATATATTATGTTTTAAGCCGGACAAATAGTATGTTGGTCTTGGAAAAAATTATCAAGTGGCGCATCTTCTATATCTAAAAATAAAAAATAGATTTAGATTAGATTATATCTTCCGGAAGTGGATTTTTTCCAAGGGAGGGAGGGAGGGAGGGGGTAAAACCAATTATGTTCACGTATGTTTTTGGAAGACGAAGAAGAAGAATGAACTTTATTTCGTCTTGCAAAATACATGTATGAATGCAATGGATTCCACTCTTCTATAGAAAGGATCCACTTCGGAAAAATATAACTTAATCCAAATCTATTTTTTATTTAAAACTAATGATTTAAAAAAGTCATTTTTGGGCGGGATGCATGGGAGACGAGGGATTCAAAAAATAGAATATTTCTAAACACGAAAACGTCATTTGACGATTTTTCCCAAAGACATAATATTGTTTGCTCTGTTTAAAACATCATTTATCTTAATTGAAGATCAAAAAGAAGCTTTATGTAAATCTTGTAATTGATGACGTTAATATATAAATATAAATTTACCATATGTATGTATATTAATTGATATATATCAATTGATTTGCTCATTTGTATCTGTACGATTTATTATTGGCACAGAATCTAGTATATATCAATCCTAATTTTTATTTGATTGAAACATGCACTTATAAAAAATTTGTTACATCATAAATCTATATTTTATGATTTTATAACTCATGAGTTTGAGGAACTGACATATTAAATCGTCACGTTAAATGTGTGGATTTTTTTACTTCTGCATTTTATATGTTTTAATATTTTGATATTAAATTACTTACAATTATATTTTATATGAAATATTAGTCAATGAAATGACAGCCGATTATTTACAAGGAAGCTTCGGCTGGATAAACAATTAATATCGCATACACTGAAGAAAATATATTTCATTATCTGCGAATAACTTGTTGCAATTAATTAAGACTTTAAATCGAGATGTTGATTATTTGCAATTTTACTTAAATTAACACAGCAGTTTTACTTAAATTAGGGACGAGTAGGTATCTCGAAACATTCGGTACACTATTTTTTGCAAACAAGAAGTTAATTCTTAACCGAACAATAATTTTTTGTAATTTTCGATAAAAATGGAGGGTAAATTTTATTTGATTGATACATATACACACTTATTTTAATTATTATAATAACTTTTCTCTCTTCTTTTCTTCTATAGATAACTTTTGCATTAATTGTGTAACGGGTGCTCAGATTACGTAGGGGAATTTGGACTAATTAGGGCGCCGCCCTGTTTCATAATGTAACCCACATTCTTCTACACTTAAGCGTTGTAAGATAACCGTGCGGGCAATGACATTACGCTTACTTAACCATTACTGACATCAGCGCTTTCAATTTAACATTTTTCTTACACATCAAATTTAAAACATCATTAAAACAATTAAAATAATACCATGTATAATTTTTAACTTATATGTAGTCTTTATTTTATGTAATTTTTAAGTTTGATTATTTTATATATTATCTTTGAGATTTTCCTTTCTCTCAAAATGCATTATTTTTCATCGTATACACATATGTAATCGATAAATGTTTATTTATTGATATAAAATACATCAATGCCTCCTCTCCCCTAAATTGAACACGAATTATTGCTATATAATTAGTATCATTAAAAAATGATAGCACTAATGAGATGATAATAATTTATTTTATTACTATCAAGAACTAATATTCATCGCTCGAACAAGTGGAAGAAATTATGTTGACCCAACACTTCTAGTTTATTCAGCTGATCTATTTTGCGTAAAAAAATCATAATCTAATTGTAGAAACTAAATATAGCTATTAATGTAGCTCGCTTTCTGTTTTGTCAAGTGCGCGATTCGAATGTGTAATATGATAAAACATACTCTGTCTTTCTTCTTTGCGCTCCGAATCTGATAAGATTATTTAAACAGCGCGTATCACCTAGAGTTTGTGAAAGGTTTGCCGCATTTTATTCGGTAAAAATACTCAACGCAAAGAAATGATATATTTTCCGTAAAATCTGGAATCGACTACTGCTCTATAACTTCGTGGCGGTTTAGTTTACAAAACAAACTCGGAACTCGTCCGCGTTCAGTCACAATCGCGAACATCCAAAGGCAGACAAAATTTTCAAATATACTCACTCGGGAAAGAGAAAGAGAGACAGAAAGCTGGCAGACTACCGTTCTTTCGTATTTATCCACCCAGAGGTACAGTTTTACCAACAACCATGCGCGTATCAAGTATCGAATTTAAACCCTCAGTCATCTACTTCCTCTTCTCTTCGAACAATATCATCCCAGTATCACTCTCTTTCTTTGTCCCTCTTCATTTCTCTACTCTTCTCTCTTCCATCTCTTTTTGTTCTACTTCGCAATCCCTTCCCGCTGTGTTTGTACATAAATATTCTCCCTCGACCAAACAAGTATTTTTTACTGGCTTTCGAAAATCTCCCTCCACTTTTTGTAATATTTTTGCAGTCTCTGTGGTGGCCGATAGTCTTTCGCGTAAATACAAAACATGCGGGTCGACATAATGGTGCGCAAGGACTAGATAACAGAAAACAAATTTTTTTTGCAAGAGCTTTTTTCGAGTATTAATGCTTTATACTCTACACAACAAGAAATAAAATTCTTCTTCACTAGATGCTAACAAAACAAAATTTTGAAAAAATAGAGCAATAGTTTTCTAAAATAAAAAATATGTATGTTGTTACGTAATATTGCGTAATAATATATTAATTTCAGATTTTTAATTTATTCTTTATTATAGATTAATGAGATATTTTTATATTTCAAAATTCTATTTTTCGTCCAAAAATAATCACGATCTTTAAGTAATTTTCTATATAGAATAAAAATATTTCTACTCTAATTCAGTTTTTATCTTCGCTGGATCACTATGATATCATCATTGATGCTCGCATGTGAATGCACGTATATGTTATATTTACGATCAAAGTTGGAGCATACCAACAATTGGCATTCATCGACCGACTGACTCATTCTGTTCTGGGAATTAGGTTATAGTATGCATGACCAAATCATAATAATTTGTCGTTAAGTATAATACATGACGTCACTTGCCACAAGTGCTTGTAAAATATAAAATTACGTCTCCTTTCGCGTGACGAATACGTCTATACGTGAAATAGATCTTGCCCGACGCGATTCTGCAGAAATATAAGATGCGTCAACGAATTTACTTGGAATGCATCTCACATTTTAATTGCAAGTATATCGCACACGCCCAGAATTTGCAATTGCATTAGATTTACATCGACCTTTCATTGCAGCTCAAGGCGAACACGAGTTTAATCGACGTTAAACAAAAGGCGATTTGTACATATGTGACCTTAAACTTTCCAAGACGTATTTCAGGATATTTTATGATGGCATGCACGCAATGTCGATATATATACGCGTGGCATTTTTAACGTCACGTTATTTCTACTAAAATATGTATTATATATGTATCATGAGTATCGATTGCCGTGATATACGTATTCAAAATTATTAATAAATTTTTTACAAATTTTTTACAAATTTGTATATTTCGAATGTTTTTATTCTGTATTTAATTGCCAAATTTGAAAAC